AGGGTGGGGCTATCAGTAATTTAGGGAGGGGCTATCAGTAATTTAGAGAGGGGCTATCAGTAATTTAGGGAGGGGCTATCAGTAATTTAGGGAGGGGCTATCAGTAATTTAGGGAGGGGCTATCAGTAATTTAGAGAGGGGCTATCAGTAGTTTAGAGAGGGGCTATCAGTAATTTAGGGAGGGGCTATCAGTAATTTAGGGAGGGGCTATCAGTAATTTAGGGTGGGGCTATCAGTAATTTAGGGCAGAGCTTTCAGTAATTTAGGGTGGGGCTATCAGTAATTTAGGGCAGAGCTTTCAGTAATTTAGGGTGGGGCTATCAGTGGTTTTCAGTCTTACAGATGAGACCTAAAACAAAGCTCCTGACTATCTGTGCTCATTAATAACCTCAGGGCACTTCTGGTAAAGAGTAGGGGTGTAACCTCGGTGTCCTGGCCAAACTCCCTCCATCAGCTCCATCCACTGAACTGGCTCCATCACTGTCTCTCCACTCCACCTCTAGCTGGTGTGTGGTGAAGCACTGGCGCTGTTGTCCTGCACACTGGTGGTGTTGTCGTCATGTGTATGAACTGTATAAATGCACATGATTCACTTACTCTCACTTATAACTGCAGATGAACTGCAGAATGTAAAGGTGAGCAGGCGTGCCGTCTCCTCTCCTCCACTGAGCTGAACACAACAGAGGAGCACATCACATGAACCACAGCCGTCAAATCGAGGTAATCCACAAGATTTATTGGTCAAATGCAAGAGGTAGAGGTCTTGCAGTCAGTTATATTCTCTGTACATCAGATCCGTCAGTAGTGCAACTCGTGCAGAGATGAAGGACACGCAGAGCAGAAGAACATCACATGTCAGATATACACGGAGAGAGAAGAGTCCAACATGTACAGCAGACGAGCTCCGGGAGCCGCTCCTCCACACAACAACACAAAAACAAGAACCATTAAAAAGCAAGAGTTGGAGAGGCTCCAGCCGGCCCGCCACACGCTCTCAGACGGCCAGGAGACAGAGCCACGTCCTGAAGCGGAGCTGATCCATGCAGAGCGTCTGTCCGCATGCTGGAGGAGAAGCAGACCCCGGGGGACTGTGGGAAACCCTGAGCGCAGTCGGTCTGTCCTGTGTGTGTGTGTGTGTTACGTGAGAGGTGTGTGTGTGAGGCTCTGCGGGTGCAGCTGCTGCCATAAATGTTGCTGCTGCACCGCCAGCTGCTGACTCTGATCTGATGATGACAGGATGTTGACCAGCGGAGACACACAGTTCTGCGGGATGATCAGACCTGAGGAAAACACACACACACACACACACACACACACACACACACACACACACACACACACACACACACACACACACACACACACACACACACACACACACACACACACACACACACACACACACACACGGAGGAGGAGTGAGGCTCTGGCTGTGTCCCGAATCACACACTTCTGCACTGTATAGCATGTTAACAGCGTCTCTGCAGATATCATGATGTCAAATTTAAGACCTTTTACGATCTTTTTAAGACCATTAAGTATTAAATTTAAGACCTATATCGCAATATCAAGAACACACGACAGAAAATGTAGAAGCACAAAATTAGGGGTAAAATAAAGTTATTTAGATTGAACAGTAGTAAAGTCAGGTTAAATGCACCAGTGAACTACAGAAAAACAAACATCTAAATGCAGATTTATACTTTCACCTGGCGCCGCACAACTCACAAAACAGATTAAGACTTTTATACTCGACACGTTCACCATTGAGATATATTTTTGACAGGGGGCGCTCCAAAACAACAGACAGTAAAATCAGACGAGTAAAAAGATCATCATCATCATCACTGAAGATGTTTTTGAAGGCCTCTTTTTTGTTTTAACAAACTCATCCCTCAGAGTTTTCCCAAAGTTTTACAAAAGCTTTCCTCCTTTCCCATGGCTGTTGCAGTTTCTAGCCAATAATTATTGGTCAATCTGGCAAGCAGAAGTGTAGCTGTGATAGAAAATAGGTAAAGACTTGATTATGTATTATAGCCTACTGTACTGTTCACTCTTCAAATAAATCCCACTATCAGTCCCATTTTATCACTGAAATAAAGTGCACACGTGTCTGCTGTACAGTGTTGTGTGAAGTACAGTAAAGTGCTTCAGTTACTCTGTTGTGGTAATACTACAGTTGCTATGGTAAGTGTATAATAAACTCCCCAGTGCTTAAGTTTTTTACAATATATTGTATATTATTCTACAATTCACCACACTTTACTGTAGTAAAACTGCACTGTATTTCATTTATCAGTTCACTATTCTTAACACTACAGTACGCTGAAGCATCTCTGGAAAAGCACGAGAGGAGTGCGACCGAGCGAGAGCAGATCATTCGCACGTGAGCAGCCGGTGTTTTGAGAGCTCGCGAGCAGTTTTGTCTATGAAGGAAACCGGTGCGTGAGCAGAGATTCGCTCTCTCGTATTACAGCGCTCCCGACTTATAAAACTGCACTTGCGACATTTGTCAGTGAAATAACGGCACACTCTGCCAGCCGAAATCATCACGCACACTCAAAGCGAACTACCGCAAACACAGCGATGACGTCACATTCACCGCGCGCACTGAGTTTAATAACAGAAAGCTGATTGGCTATTGCAAGCTGACTTTTTTGTAGTTGTAATACCGCAAATTACAATTGGACTAGTGAAATACAGAAGAACTACAACACCCCAAAAACCAAGCAACAATAACAAGAATTTAAATGAGCATTAGATGTAGCGGTACATGGACATCACAAAAATAAGACCAGTGCAGAAATATTTAAGACCCAGAACAGCGAATTTAACACTTTTTAAAGCCCTTAATTTCGATTTTTTAATTTAAGACTTTAACACTTTTTAAGACCCCGCGGGGACCCTGGTTTAATACAGTATCTGTGTGAGTGGTGTGTCTGAAGTCCGGGTTTAGTAGAAACACTATGCTGCATAATAAAGGACTCGCAGTGAATATACAGAGCATCCTGAGAGAACTGACAGCGCTTCACTCTCCACATGTGTATGATACAGCTTTATTACTAAACGCATTAAATTAATTGATTTCCTCAACATTCTACACACAATCCCCCATCATGACCATGTCAAGAAAGAGTTTTAGAAATTGTTGCAGATTTATTAAAAACAAAAAGCTGATAAATCAGGTGTACATCAGTGTTCACAGCCTTTGGGTGTAAAGCTCCAAGTTGAGTTTAGTCATTCTGTCTCCACTGGTCATTCCTGAGATGTCTCAGCAGCTTCATTGGAGTTCAGCTGTGCTCAATTCAGCTGATGGACATGATCTGATCAGGCTACACCTGTCTATATAAGAGCCCAGGGTTGACAGAGCATGTCAAAGCACAAACCAAGCATGAAGACAAAGGAATTGTCTGTAGACCTCCGAGACAGGATTGTCTGGAGGCACAAAGCTGGGGAAGGTGACAGAAACATTTCTGCTGCTCTGAAAGCTCCAGTGAGCACAGCGGCCTCCATCATCCGTCAGTGGAAGATGTTTAACCAGCAGGACTCTTCCTAGAGCTGGCCGGACATCTAAGCTGAGTGATCGGGGGAGAAGAGCTTCAGTCAGGGAGGTGATCAATAACCCGATGGTCACTCTGTCTGAGCTCCAGCGTTCTTCTGTGGAGAGAGGAGAACCTTACAGAAGGACAACCATCTGTGCAGCAATCCACCAATCAGGCATCTGTATGGTAGAGCGGGCAGACGGAAGACACTCCCCGCCTGGAGTTTACCATCTGCAGGACTCTCAGAGCATCAGAAACTAAACTCTCTGCTCTGATGAGACTCAAACTGAACTGTTTGGAGTGAACGCCAGGCGTTACGTGTGGAGAACAGCAGGCGGCGCTCATCAGCAGGCTAACAGCATCCCTACAGTGAAGCATGGTGGTGTTGGCATCATGCTGTGGGGATGTGTTTCAGCAGCAGGAACTGAAAGACTAGTCAGGATAGAGGGAAAGATGAATGCAGCGATGTACAGAGACATCCTGAATGAAGACCTGCACAAGAGTGCTCTCCACCTCAGACTGGGGTGATGCTTCATCTTCCAGCAGGACAATGACCCAAAGCACACCACCAACATATCAATGCAGCGGCCCAGCCAGAGCCCAGACCTAAATCCTGTTGAACATCTCTGGAGAGATCTGAAGATGGCTGTACACCGTCACTTCCCATCCAACCTGATAGAGCTTGAGAGGTCCTGCAAAGAGGAACGGGCAAACATTCCCAAAGACAGCTGTGCAGAGCTCGAGCATCATATTCAACAAGACTCGAGGCTGTAATCACTGACAAAGGAGCATCAACAGAGTCTAGAGCAAAGGCTGTGAACACTGATGAACATCTGATTCTTCAGCTTTTTATCTTTAATAAATCTGCAACAATTTCTAAAACTCTCTCCACATGGTCATGATGGGGGATTGTGTGTAGAATGTTGAGGAAATCAGTCAGTTTAACCCAGTGTGGAATGAGACTGTGACATACACACACGTGGAGAGTGAAGCGCTGTCAGTGCTTTTTGCACTGTTGGTTTTCTGAATCATGAGTTTGTCCACTTACCCACAATCCTCTGACCGTCCTCCGTCCTCAAGCGCACGATCTGCATCTTGACGTTGGCTCCGCTGACGGACGCCAGAACTCCCTCCACTTTGGTCCAGACGCTGAGCACGGAGCCGCAGAGCACGAAATACGTTCTGCAGCGCAGGCCGATCTCACACTGCAGACCCACTGACGCCTTCTTACAGTTCCCTCGCCTGCACACACACACACACACACACACACACAAAATCAAAACAATCATAACGGTTTCTTTATCATTCATTGTACAATAAATAAACAAATGAAAAGAGCAGCACTGATTAATAAATCAGATAACACAAGCACTTATAGCTGCAGGAACAGCAGTGAATGAAGTGTGCAGTACCAGTAAGCGTGTGAGCAGACGTCAGCAGAGCAGCTGTACTGATCCATCCAGTGCTGTTTGGCATCATCAGACAGAACCTGTCCACATCAGAGACAGAACATTAAAGCTGCGTGAGCCCGAAGTAGCCGAGACTCATCTCAGTATGCTAATGAACATCCAACTGAAACTGAATATTCAGTAGGGGGCGGAGCTTTCCTTTGCACATCATTCCCTCAGAGCAAACTGATGGTGAGAGGAGGAGCGGCTGAGTGAATTAACATGGATTAATGGTTCATTTCAAGAACAACTAAAACTAAATGAACATTTTAATTTCACACAGACTTTAAATCAGGGCTGGGCTGAACATTTTACAGTTCCAAATCTTCATCCACAGAATATCCATATCTCCAGGAGACAGGAACCCGCTGTGTGTGTCTGAAGCGTTCAGTGATCGACTGCAGCTGGGGCAGGTGTGCTGAGTGGACATTATAAGTGTGGTCATCATTATTATTACTCTTTACCTTCTTGCTCCTCTTCTTGATGTCGGTGTAGGTCTCCAGCTTGACCTGTTTCCCGATGTTGGGTCTGTAGACCATGAAGAGCCTCTTCCGCGGGTTTACCTCCTTCACCAGGATGGCGATCTTCTTATTATTGCGCACCTGAGGAGGAAACGCAGCACAGGTGATGCTCAGTGCGAGTGTGTGTGTGTCTGTATGCATGCATGTGCATTTGTGTCCTCACCTGCACGTAGAAGCCGTCATCAGGCCCGTTCTGATCAGCCCAGACATGTGTGGCTTCCTCCCATGACATCCCCCTCTCCACACTGACCTGAACACACACACAACATCAGTAACTAGACACAATAAATTGGCAACTAGACACACACACACACGATCAGCAACTACTCATGCACACATCTAACCTGATGACACACACACAAAACCTGTTGGCCAGCATGCACGCGCACACAAAAAAACCTGTTGGGGTTCACACACACCAAACTTAACGACACACATGCACACACCTGATGACACATCTGATGACATGCGCGCACACACAAAACCTGTTGGAGTGCGCGCGCGCACACGCGCACGCACACACACACACACACACACACACACACACACACACACACACACACACACACACACACACACACACACACACACACACACACACACACACACACACACACACACACACACAACCTGATGATATGCATGCACACACCAAACCAGACCACACAGATCAAACCTGTTGGCATGCACACACACACACACACACCAACTCTGATGACACAAAGGCACACACACCAAAAAACCTGACCCCACACACACACGCACACGCACACACACACACACACACACATACGTACAGTGTAGAGCTCCACGTGTCCTGATGTGGAATATCCAGGAGTCAGAAACTTCTTCACGTCCACCTTCTTCACCTTCTCATCTCCAGAGCCCAAATCTACACACACACACACACACACACACACACACACACACACACACACACACACACACAGGATTACACTAAATATACTAAACCATCATTAAACATGCGGGACACGCTGTGCGCACTGCTAAGCAGATCGATTTTAAAGAGTAAAAGCATCATTTGTGCTTCATAGATGTGGACTCTTATTGTGCAATCTCCAGTTCAAAAGCACTTGGGCTGTTTCTACTCATTCCAATGAAAGAGGTACTTTAAATAAATACCCGTTAAATTACACATTTATATATATATATATATATATATATATATATATATATATATATATATATATATATATATATATATATATATATATATATATATATATATATATATATATATATATATATATATATATATATATATATATATATATATATATATATATATATATATATATATATATATATATATATATATATATATATATATATATATATATATATATATATATATATATATATATATATATATATATATATATATATATATATATATATATATATAT